GGAGCAGGGCATCGGTCTGGGAGGGGAGTTTATATAGGATGGATAATATTTTTAATGCGACAGGAAGAACGACGGTAATGTTGTGTACTAAAATACGCGTCGGTCTGTATCTGTAAAGCGGGATCTCGTTCTACCTGACGGAAGCCCAGTAAGCAAGAAATCATTAACCCAACGTTGCTACAATGATATTTTACAACATGTAACGTTTTCAAACGTGTAGTTCTTAATGTTGTACACAACGTCATAGTTAACAATATCGGGCCCGAATGTTAAAAGTAATATTTATGCGATATCATTGTAACATTCAAGAATATTATCTTATCAAGTAACAGTTGAGAAACATTTGTAAAATATTACGTCGGTATGCTTCGGAAATCCGCGTGAAATCGATGTTTCAAGAGATCAAGTTTCTTGCTTACCGGGAGATTTATTTCTCGTAACTTTGCGTGAAACGAGAAGGAAGAATCTCCACGTCTTAGCGCGCTGATAGCCACCGCTACGGACGATGGTGTAACGAATGACGTAGCGAAGCCAAAGAGATAAGCGGGTAATAACGGGCAAACGTTCTCCGGTTGCGCCGAAGCGCGACATTTCGCATTCGGACGCACTGGGCTGAGAAAAGCTTTACGACTGGTCGACCCTCGATCGGCCAATCAAAGTTCCAGAGAGGCGATCGGCGAGCGGGACGTGCGCGTTTCGCCGCGAACCGCTTCTTGTCGATTATTCCTCCGGGCGAGATTGTTATCGGCGCCGCGGCGATCCGGTAATTCGCTTCAATTAACAATTTTTTTTCTTCCCACCCGCTCGCCTCGGCTCCGCAAACTAGGTAAATGTACCGCGCGCGGCCGAAGGCGCCACATTCTCGAGGCGACGTTCGCGATCATAAATGCATGCTGGTAGTTGCGTAGTAGGTACGTTTTACTCGCAGCGCCGGCGGAATTTCTTCCGCTCGTTTGTGCGCTCCTTGCACCGCAGGTGCGGTTGCGAAACGATCGCGCGCGCGCGATCGTAGAAAATTCGAATTTAGNTCGATCACGGCTTCTACGGGGGGGGGGGGGCGGCATTGGGTAACCGCTTTCCTCGGCTGAGAGAAATGTCGAGGAAAGTAGTCGTTTCTCTTCCCGATTGTTTCCCCCCTCCGGAGGGCCGCCCTTCATCAGTCCTTGCATCTCGAGCGAGCAATTACCGGAAGATGCGACTCGAGAATGCGGCCGTCAAACCTTTCCTAATGAGAAACGCCTACGAAGGGGCGCTCGCGAGTTGCGTCATTGCCAAATTAAAGGCGACGTGTCGGATAATTCGTGGTGGGAAAGACAAGCCGGACGATTTAACGGCATCGGGCCGGCTGCTTTATATTCCTTTCGGATTTCTACCCGCGTGGGCGATCCAATTGGACTAGCCGCAAGGTGGCCCATCGTCGCCTCGGGAGACCTTTCTCGTTTTCTCCTCTCTCTCTCCAGGTGCTACACGAGAGAGAAAGAGAGAGGAGTGCACTAATCCACGCTTTTAGCTGAATCACATTACACTTCGCGTCGCATTTCGAAAGCGAACAGGCGCGAGAAGTCTCGCGCAGGTGTCCGACGACGCCGCATGACCGAATTGCGCGGCTCGAAATTATTCATCGTCTATCACGGCTAACGACAATGATTAACGAGCCCATAAAAGCGCAACAATGTTGCGTCTACGCGAGGCCCGAAGTGGATGAAATCCGGGATATGCCTGGAGTGAATTATCGCCCGGTGTTGCCGCGACGGTGGTGCGCGCTAAATGATACAAAACCGAGCAACGCTTGCCGAAACGTTGGGCAAGATCGCGAGTTCTGATCCTCCCTCAATCTCGCTCGCGCGAAGGCGATAATTAAAAATCGATCGGCGGCGGCGGAGCGTCGCCGTGTTGCTGATTTCGTCCCCGTCGGGCAGGCCTCGCATTTGCATACGATCGTCGAGCGTCAAGGATTAATCGGCATACCCGTTATGTATTCGCGAGGATACGTACGCGCCTTCGCTTCTTGCGCCGCTTCTGCACCGTCCGGTGGCCGTAGAGCGGCCTTCGATTTCGCTACGGGGCCTCGGGAACCGGTAATAAAGCTCGCTCGCTCGCTCGACGACGTTGTCTATGGCAACTAATCCTCAGCACCAAAATTGTCACCCACGCGGCGCGGTTTCGTCAGCGTCCGTCCGAGCGAACTTCCGCTCGCACGTCGTTCGGATGGCCGTGTATGTACGCGTGTTCGAGACAAATCTGGGTCGCATTGCGTAAGAACCGAGGGAGCGTTTTTCCCGTTGCATTCACACCGTTGATAATCATCGGCCGGCGATGTGAGATGCGCGAATACGCGCGAACACGCGCGTCTCCGCTTCTAAATAACAAACAAAGTCGGCCAGCGAACGCGCATTGTGCGCCGCGCTCGATTCTCGCGCGAGACGCGAGTTGATATTTTATGCGGCTCTGTCGTCTCTCTCTCTCTCTCTCTCTTTATCTCTCTCGTGGAGGCGTATATTATATCCCGTATAGGTTAAACCACCCCGCCTACTTACGCGACGTGTCCCAATACCTGGCAGCGATATGTCAACAACTACTTTCAACTCCGTGCCCCGCCGTCAGGTATACGTTTTATCCGTTTGCAGAACGCAGGCGGCTTAATCCCGGCGATCGGACAATACGCGTTGTATTTACGATACTCTACCGTTGGAAAGGTGAAACGCTCCGTATAATTGTTCAACCGGGCGATTTTTCAATTCGTATCTTCTCAAAGAGCGGAGATCCGCGGGGCTGAGAAGCTCGTATTCGTTGCTGTTGAAAAATCATCAGGTAGGAATCCGTGTAAGGAATCCACGCGGAATCCCACGGTTCACCCCTGGGGATTCGGACCGAAAATCCAGGTCCTATGTGGAAAGAAAAGAAGCGGCTTTCACAGTTGAAAACCAGCTCCCACAGGTAAAAATTAGCGTCCCATATGATACAATTGAAATTTAATTAATTCAGCTAACTCCTTTCGCCCTTGAACTTGGTTTTCAGCTCCAACAGCTGGAAACTGAACCTGGTAACTAAATTTCCGTTGCATCACACGGACAGCTGATTCCTTTCTTCCGCGTAGGGAAACAACCCATGTGGATTCCTACATGGGTTTTGAATATCCTCTATGGATTCACGCGCGAGCTCGCTTGGATTTCCGTGGGAATCCATCCGAGCATTTTCAACGGGGATAATTGCAGAGCCTCTCTCGCATAATGTCTATTTCTGAAAAACATGGATCCCACAGACAGCTCGCAAATGAGCCGCTCGCGTGACGCTTGTCGGCTTGAGCACGCTCGTCCGTCTCGCGAAATGATTGCGTATTCAAAGGCGTTTCTGAAAGCGTAAGAGCACCGTCCGAGGTGTAAACAGCCTCGAGAAAGTGCAAATAGCCTCGTATCAACTTCTCGCTCAATTTTTTATAATCTCATTAATTAAGTTCGCGCGCGCACACACACACACGGACGTTTCCAGGCTCCGCTCCGGGTATGTCGGTTCGCGTCCGCCTCGCTTAATCCCAATTCAGTGCCTTCTTTCTCGCGCGGTGCGTTGCATCGCGCGCGGCATTATCAGGCGCGAGCGCGCGGCCGAAATACGTTTTTGCCACTTTGTGCAACGAAGGCGCGCAATAAATTGCGTACATTACGAGATGGACGGCGCGCCAGGAGACTCGCGTACGGAGGAGCCCCGTGGGTATTACATGTCATCCGGTGTGCCACTGTGGGAAACCCCAAGTACCTTCTCTCTCTGTCTCTCTCTCTCTCTCTCTTTCTCTCCTCCGCTCCGGCAGAGGAGCCTTCAAGGCTCATTAACCCGAGAGATAGCGCGTTATGCCGGATTACGCTGTCTCTTCGTTAGCGCACTTATCGGCCCGCTGGTGTGCGATGCCGACGGCTACGTGGATGTTGCTCCTCGTCGGTATATCGTCGCCGGCTGTTATTCGAAATGCATGCACGCAAAATGAGAGAGAGACTCGATGTAGTCGGCCGATATTGCGCCGCCTCTCAGAACGATTTTCTCCGGATCTGTATCCGCGTCGGTTTAATGGAGTCGTTTATTTCGGTCCCGTTAAGAAGAACCTGTCGAATGAGCCTGCGACAATGACGCGCCCCGAAAAATACAAATGACATTGCGCACCACTCAGGATCGCGACGCTACGGTGAATCTCCGATTTCTCACTTTGTCACTGACTTCGTGACATTTAACGGCCTCATCTGCACCAGCCGTTCGCACGGCCTCCGGGAAAAGGCGTCATCCTCGGGACGCTCCGATCGAAGCTTTCCCGTTTCATCGGAAACTGAACTATTCGCCGAGCTTTTCCTCGCCGCGTTATGTCGGCTTTCGATTCATCGATCACCCGGAAGAGAAAAACAAATAAGTGTCAAACGGTGAGAAAAGTCTGATTCGCTGTTCTACGACGGGTAGTCGTGATGTCACGAGCGACGAGTCGGGGAATAAGAAGAAGACCAAGTACACCAAGTGGCTTGCGCGCGCGCGGCTCGATTTCTCGTTGGTGGTTCGCGGGGTTAAATATACCCTCGTTGGTCGCATCATACACATCGAGAGTCGGCGGGTTGAAGGAGGGGAAAGGGGAGAGAAGAGAGAGAGAGAGAGAGAGAGAGAAAAGAAGAGCGAGAGAGACGGGGAGAGAGAGAGAGAGAGAGAAAGCGAAAATAGCGCGAGAAAGATAGGAATTAGTCGCACACACGCGTACGCACGCACCCGAGTGGGAACGGGACGGGGCGAAGGAATACGAAAGAGGGAGAAGAAGAAGAAGTAAGTAGAAGAAGGAAAGGAAGAAGAAGAAGAGAGAGACGGGGAGAAGGGGGGAGGGGAGGAGGGACGGGAAAGAGAGGGAAGAAGTCGAGCTCTGCTATTACAGAGCACCTCCGTGGCCGCGGCGCACAGCCCGATATGGAGCAATCTCAGATTTCCATCCGCCCAAATCGAGAATATACGCCCGCGCCTCCGCTCGCTCTTCTTGGCCCGCGGAGGGCTGCTCGTCGTCGTCGTCGTTTCTCTCGTCCCTCGGCGGAGGTGGAGACGCCGCTCCGTCGGGGTTGTCGCTTGTCCACTCTCGCTCGTAACAGTGCCAAAAGTACCTTAAAACGCTCTGCTCCCGTCGCTCCCGTTTTTTCCCCTCTCCTCTCCTCTCTCTCTCTCTCTCTCCTTCTCTCCCTCCTCTTTCATCTATTTACCATCTTCCCACCTTCCTCGTGCGATTGATCCAGTCTCATCCACGGGGAAATCCAACCACGTGCCCAGTGTCTCTCTCGCACTCCTCCGCATCCACGATCCTCCGCCGGGAGTGACTCTCTCGATATATTCCTCGATATACGTCCGTCGGGAGATCGCGGGAGTCGATCGGGCGCGTGGGCGACCGCGGGACGTCGGACAGCGCGCGGCATCAATCGAGCGAGAGTGATTGATCGGGGCTTGTGCTCGGATTTGTGCGACCGGATCGTGCGGCTCTCTCTCGACGTTGCGGACGACGATCGCCGCCGTGTGATCCGGCACGAAAACCGGGAATCGATCGCGCGCGAAGATCGCCTGAGCCGTGACATCGACGTAGGAACGTAGCGGCGCGCGCCGGACGTTCGGTCGCCGAACCCGCGGGTCTTCTCCTCAGAAGGTGGATTCGCCGAGAACAATACGTTCATGTTGCCGGAAAGCAATTTTCCCGTTACAGGTAATCGAGAGTGGGCACGCTGATCGCCGAGTGCGTAAGGAAGAACGAACGAGCGAGCGACGTCGCTTCGACGCTTTTCGAAATGACGCGACGAGTGTATTTTCGGGGCCGATCTTTCTCGGAATCGATTCGTCACTTCCATACGCGCTCTACGATGAAATAATAAGGGGTCTGTTAATAGTTCGTATCCGCGATCGAACGTCTTTCCGAACGGTCTTTCTACACCTGGTAGATCACCTGGCTACACCACGTGGGACGCGCGTCGTGCGCTGGTTTACGCATAATTACGGATCTATAGCGACATCATAATCGGGCCAGTGGATCACGGCCCGTCGCGGTATGTCGCCGTAATATATAGCGGAATCGATCTACAGGGCGCGATTACGCGTGAGACGTGTTGGGCGAAACGGGCTCGGGAATATTCCGACCAGGCAGCGGTAACGTCACGAGAGGATCTTCTCCAAAGAGTTTTTCCTCGGCCGTTTGCATCACCTTGACACATTCCCGTGCATCGCTCGTCTGACTTTCCGTTTTTAACCTAGTTGCGCCTCTGCCAATAGAAGCGCGAGAGCACATGCTCTCCTGCGGAACAAACCTTCGCTCTACGAATCGTCCACTTGTTGCCCGCGTGAATGTGTGAAATTCGGGGGTTCGGCGCAATAATGTTGAGGGGAAAAACGTCGTGAAGAGGGAAGGAACGACGGTCGTTCGAGTCGAAAGCGTCGCGAGTATTACTCCTCGACCCGTCACGCGAGTGTAAAATTGCGAAACGGGAAATGTGTCTCTTGTAAGCGGCGCGTTGGATCTCCCGATTTCTTCCCTTTTGTTTTTTTCTTGAAAAGAGAAACCGTCGATTTTACCGGACGATCCTTTTAATGCGGCTAATATTTAACACGCGAAAGCCGCGCGTGATGCGATTGTGCATGCGTGCGCACGACGAGTGCGCTTCAACGATCATAAAGGCATAGCGCGGGGCGCGATGCCATCAGCCATAATCCTAAATATGGAGTGAGAAATTTGAGAGAACCGAAAATAGTGGCGCTACGCCAACCGCTAAAAATAACCAAAAAATAAATTGTAGTTACGCGCCCGCCTGCATCATTCTATAACTGGTCTTCAATGAAAACGAGCTGTCTCCCGCGTATGCCGGTTTTAATTTAAACACCCTACGCCGCCCTTACTTTTTACCGTGCATTTACGTACAGCTTTTCTCACATTACGAGACCATCGACGGTTCGATTTCTTTTCTTTTTTTTTGTTTTTTTGGAACTGTGAGGTTTCAAGAACTTGAATTCCCCGCATACGCTCGCGATTCTGGAACTTGAACGTGGTCGATTGCACGAGATTCGGAACTCTTGGATATTCGGAATGGTAAAATTGGAATCTTACGACTCGAGAATCCCATTTTTGGAACGCTCGTACATTTCTGTATCGAATCTGCGAGATCCCCCCGAATGAGATCGAATGCTTTGGTTTTCGCTTCGGTGTCCCGAAGTAACCGAGCGACAACCGATACATAGGCGTCTCAAGGCGTGAAACTCGATCGACTAAGGCCAACTATGGCCCAGGAATTGCGGGTGTTGGGTGGGCTGTACGGGAGTGTGTCCGGTTCTATTTTCGTGCGGGAATATTTTTATCCGTCGGTGCTGCAAAGTCGCAGTATGTATAATACGTTTCTTCGTCTCCTCCGCGTCTCCTTCTTTCTCCCTTTCAGCCTCTTTCGTGCGCGCCGTTTCCTGACATCGCCGCGCCGGTCGCCGACGTCTCCGCATCGTTAACCCTTGACTGCGCGAATCCTCACGTACGGTGCGTTAGTGAAATTATATAATGCACGAAACGATCGGCTGCGGAAATATTGGGAAAAAGTTCTGTTGTTTTTATATCCGACCGAGCGCGTCAGAATTGCGAAAACGCGCGAAGCGTATCATATTTCATGAAGGGTTGTTATAAATGTCACACGAGGTGGATTATCATGAATACGGCATAAAAAAAGTACCTAATAAATATAAATATAAATATATATATATATATATATATATATATAAAGTTCCGTACAACGCAATAAAATCTCATACTCGTGCAAATCAAACGCGTTATAACCGTAAATGTCACACGAGAAGGATTATAATGGAACGGTATAGAAGCACCATATAAATAAATAAATATATATACAGGGTGTCCCAGAATCAATATACGTCTTTAACGTGACAGATTTTTCGGGACATTCTAAAAAAAGTTCAAATACGAAAATGTCAATAGAGGTCCCCGTATTCGTAGCAACTTTCCAATTTCCAATTTTCAACATAATACATCTTTATAATTCAAGCCTAAAGTGGACTTCTATAAAAGTAAAGTCCACTTGAAATTGGTCGAGGAACATAATTTTGTTATCCCTTCAGTCGCTCGAACTTTAGTTTGCGAAGAGTCCTGCTTTCTCGATTGCTTGTATCTTGGAAACTATTGATGCCTCGATATTTTCGTGCTGAAACTTTCGTCTTAGAACGTGCCAAAGAATCTGTTAAGGACATATGTTGCTTTTGGAACACCCTACATATATATATATATATATATACACACACATATATAGGGTGCCCAAGTATAAGAAGAACATCTAAATACCTCCTTTATGTTTAACATGACATGAAAAATGTGTTTAGAGCACAATTCGAGTGGCTTCGAAGGAGGCATGCGCGGAAAGAAAATTTTTTCCGATTTTTTCTCCGATCGCTTCTAAAGTTTCCATATTTAAATGTTCTTTTTATGCTGGGACACCCTGTACATATAAAACTCCGTACAACGCGATGAAATATCATACGCGTGCAAATCAAACGCGATATAACCGTAAATAGCCGACCCGCCGAGGATGACGTCGTCGTCGTGCTCGCGAAAGCGCAAGCACAACACGGTGAGCTCCGCGAATTCGACTGACGAATTACTCGAGTGCGACAGGTGCGGCCCGTCGAGCGAGTCTCTCTCGCCTAAGCGGATCTTCCGTCGCGTTACGGATCCGCGATCCCCATTGCGGATCGCCATTGTGCGATTTTGAAGCCTTGAACGGACACGCGGCGCATTCGCCCACGCCGCCACGCTGTGTTTTCTCGCGCCGATGGTGCAACGACGGCGACCGGCGCGAGCGTTGCTTTATCGTTTATCCATTTGCATGCGGGCATTTGTTTAGTTTCTGCCATTTCTCACGCCCGTCAAATCTACGCAACGCAATTCTCCGCTGCACGCGGCATTAATCCGACGCTCATTAATACGACGGTTATTCCGCAAGCCGCGCGCTCTCGCGCACACCGGCGCAGATCTCCGGCATCGACGTCGACCCACGCGCAACCTTTCCCGAGGAGATCCGCATTGCCCTGGCGGTTCGCACGCCGAAAAAAAGAAAGTGGAAGCCGTTCGCACGACGAGTTCGCGAGACCTTCACCGCTCCGCTTCCGGTCTCGTTTTTCTTTTTTTTTTCCTCTTCCCCAGCAGCCCGGGAGACGAAATCGAGAGCGGTACAGCGTTACCAGCTGTCTAACGGCAAATGAGCGCTCGAGATTCGGTGGAGATAGATTTTCTCGTTCTTCTCTCCTTTACGAAACCGGATGTCAAATGATATCAGATAACAAGTCCTCGCAAGTCGATCGTAATCGCGCGAGCCGACTTGGACGACGGCTCTCTCACGTGCGACGTTCGAATTTCCAGGCGGCACTATGCAGACCGAGGAAGTCGTGCCGCGCGCACAGTCCATTGGCATAGACAGTGGTCTCACCGACGGTCTGCAGCACCATTTGCATCATTCAGTACACTTACGCTGCCCGTTACCACCTTTAATCCACATGGCCGTCAAGCAGGAGCCGCAGGAGGAAGAAGAGCCGCGAAGTCGCGACGCGAACACGTTGAGGTGAGTCTCGCCGGTTCTTCGCGCGCTATTCGAGAGTCCGCTCGCCCTGTCGGCAGCGCTGCTAAACGGCAAATCGAATGAAATGACGCGTCAAACTCTGCCGATGGACCGGCCGATTGTTCGAGCGGCGCGTCACGTCGTAACTCGATTTTCCGTCGGCAATCGACGACGGTTTACCTCGCGTGCGAACGTTCGGTGAACGAAGGTTCTCTTCTGCTTTCGGCAGCTCGCAAGTGGACGCAGGCAACGCCGCGAGCTCGGTGGACAGCAAGCACGGACAGCAGGTGGCTCATCATCAAATCCCCGGACTGGGGGAGAATTCGACGCTGACCGTTCCGGACCCCGCCAACCGAGGGCGGCCCAGGTGATTCATCTGTCCCTCTTCTTTGCGCGTACAACTAAACCGTAATTAAATAGAGCAATGAAAGCGAGAACGCGCGCGTAACGAGCGTGTTTCGCAACGTCTTACATTGTCACGTAGCGCGATTCGCGTCAACGGTCGCGGGTTCTCTCCCTTTCTTTCTCTCTCTTTCTCTCTCTTGTATTTTTTCCCCGACTTCTTCTCGTCGCGTCACTAACGACGTCTTTAACGTAAAACCGGCAGTGCTCCAGGAAAGTGCTTTAAATGGCCGTCGGGCAAGAAAGACAGGCGCCGGGAAACTGGTTCGTGCCGAGCGAGTCTTCTAAAGTCTTGGACGCGCGCGCGCGGAAAAAGTATTCGCGGATGTAGCGTCAGTGAAACGCGCCGCAGGAGAGTCGATCACCGTTATTATTGAATTTCATTAAACGGGCCGGCCGACTAGAAATGTGAAGAAGAAGAAGAAGCGCGCGCGCGCGAGACACGCTCTCTGCATACGTGCGAAGGCGTCGCTATAAAGCACCGTTAAGGTGTGGTTTGGAATGCAGTTGAAGCAAACGGCGTTAATGAAGGAGCGATATCAATTGCTCTACGAACGCATGCCACTTTGAATGCCTCTCTTTTCGCGAGATGTTAATCGCTCCGCGCTCGGAAGATGACACTTCGCGTCGACTTTCGTTCTGAGACACACCGACGCGACATGAAGTAAGAACAAGAAATGGCGGTTATCCTTCTTCGTGTCTTTTCTCACGTAAAGTGTAATAATTATACAGCCCGATGTCTTGCTCCGCGATTTTCCTCAAGTCTCATTCGCCTTCGGCTCTCGTCATTGTTAGTCGGAATTTCGACTCGACGTTAATGCAAATATGATTAACACGTGATTAATATTATGCTTTTCGAAATCCAGAACTAAAACTTAATTAATTAATTCCTGACACGGATAGGCTATTGGGGTAATCGCACGGAGGAAAATCATTTGCCGGCGCACAGCAAATTTAATACTGTCGCAGCGAAATCCGCCAGTTACTATCCGGCCGGCGAAACGACTTGTTAAGAGTACCGCTATTGCTATTCGCTGGATTATTTTGCTGCATCTGCAAGTTACTTTGCCGTAAGAACAAATTAGTTAACATAGAAAAACGCTATTTTTGCCCCAAGGACAAATTCACTCAGCAGAATTTGCCTGTTCAACGAAACTGTTTCTTCTCTAATTACGAATAATTCGCTAATTCAGTTATTCCAACTACCATTATTACAGCTAAATTTGATCACTAATGCAACGAATATGCAATGATAGTTTCGCTACGGCAGCTACAAAATTATTTTTCACCGTGCCAATATTATAAATATAATTCTTAAACAAATCCTTCTTTAACCCTCTCCCACCTCCTCTCTCTTTCAACAAAACGCGGCAAATGACCATTCGTAGCCTCGGAAGACAATAGCCTGTGCAAAGTTACACCTCGAGATTCTCCGCTGGTCCTTCGAAAGTTAGACGGAATGCGCGTGGGCGTTGACATAGAAGGAAAATTTCGACCCGATCAGTCGCACTACACCACGGTCTTCGTGTATTCCAGCCGTGGCCGCAGGAAATCGCGATGGAAGCTCAAGTTCCACCACCAGGCGCTGCCGCCGGAATACCTGGACCACTACGAGGCGTCGCTCGCCCAGGAGAACCTGAACTCGTCGTCGTCGCCGCCGCGCGTAATCGAGCCAACAGCGCCGAGTCCGGCGCCGACGAGCTCGACGTCCACCCCGAGCCCCATCGCCGCCGACGTGCACGGCTGGCTGCAGCGGATCGCGGCGATGCAGCAGGAGCTCTGTCCCCAGCTGGCGTCGCCGCAATGCCCGGCGACCTTCGGCCACCAGGTCCCACAGACGGGCACCAGGCGGTCCGTCATCACCTCCGCCTCCTCGCAGGCCTACAACCCGCCTTACCCCAATCACCACGCTCAGCAGACGCAGCCGTCCAGCCGGCCACCGATGAAGTATTCCGATCTACCGTACATGGGCGAGATCACATTGGACAACAGCAAGCCGAGACGCGGGCGTAAGCCGAAGAAAGCCGACATCTGTCACCTGATCTACAAGAACTACGGCACGATACTGCCGGGCACGCCCGGTCACGAGGAGAAGAGGCTGTCGCCGCGGGGGGACAAGCAAGACCCGCGCGAGCGCGTCTCGCCTCACGTGCCCTTCCAGAGGACCGACGTGCAGAACCGTATCAGCAGTCTGTTGGAGAAGCGGCTGACTCAGGAGACCAGACGGAGCTTCGCGCTGTCGGAGAGCGCGAGGGAGCAGGACGAGCCGCTGAATCTCTGCATCCGAGACCTGAACCAACTGAAGATACGGCTGCTGAGGAAACACGGGAACGTGTACGAGCCGGGGCAGGTGAAGAGCGAGACGTCCAGCGACGGTGAGGAGGTCGAGTGCCTGAGCGCCGGTGGCTTCACCTCGGAACCGATCGCCAACTACTCGGAGCCGGCTCACCGGCCGGGCAACCTGGTCAATCACAACAACAACGTAATCGACCCGATGATCGGCCCCAACTCCGGCTTCGTCTACTGGCCGAACGCCGGCGTGTTCATCCACCCGATGGCACTGCAGTCGCAACTGCTCTACTACCAGAAGGTAGCGCAGGGTGACAGGTGTCCCTCCCGAGCGGTGCCGGCGGATCAGCCGCCGAGGGAGCAGAAGATCGTGCCGAAGTCGATCTACTCGATGATGGAGACGAAGGGCGCGGCGGCCCCGTTGCTCTCCCAGCCGGCGACTAACGCGCCGCCGTCGCCGAGGCCGAAGCGGAACGCGCCCTTGAGTCAGCATCAAGGTCAGCAGCCGACGAAGCGGAAGCGCTCGGCCATATTCATACCGCCCATGCCGACCGAGAACAACAACCCGGCGACGGAGGTGAGCATATGCAAGTTCAAGTTCACCGGCGGCGCCAAGCCCAGCCTGCAGGAGAAGAAGAGCCTCTCCGTGGACTCGGGCGGTAACTTCCGCTACTACAGCGGCACCGGCGACAAGAGTATGCGGGGCTACGAATTCTTCCCGCGGGAAGCCCTGCAGCAGCCGGCCGGCCAGCCCGGAGCCTCCTCGGCCGCTGGCGCTTTCCTCAGCGCCGCCGGCGAGAGGATCCAGCCGGCGGCGGCGTGCCAGCGGAACGCCGGCCAGGACGACGGCAGGCGCAAGAGGAAGACCCGGAAGTCCCTGCAGCGCGAGAAACTGGAGCAGACCTTCAAGGAGAAGGGCTTCCTCATCCAGACGCAGCAGCTCGAGTCCGCGGAGGGCGCCACCTACTGCAAGTTCCGGCAGCTGAGGAAGTTCACCAGGTACCTGTTCAGGAGTTGGAAGGACTATCTGCCCGGCAACGTGCGCGAGCTGAGCGGGGGTGGCGGCGGTGCTCCCGGCGGCGAAGGAGCCGGCACCGCGACGGACGGCGACGTGACCGACGTCGACGTCGACAACGGCGCCGTTCTCGTTCACTCCCCGGTCCCTCACGGCAATCTGCTGGATGTGCCCAACAGCTTCGTCGAGGATCACCGGACACTCACGTGAGGTCGCCCCCCGACGGTGGTCACAGCGCGACGCGTTTCCTCGAATCCCGATTTGATTCCCGGGGGAACTCCGAGGACTTTTCGACTTCATCGTGCACGAAGCGGCCGAATGTCGACGGTCAAACGGTAATCCGACATACCGCACTCGACGGCGAACCTCGCGCGCGTTCGTTGTCGCGTGCGTTCCGCTAAGAAAAAAGTAAAGAGAACAAAGCGCAAACCTGGTCGTCAGCATCGCGCCATGACGCGCGCGTCACGACGACGCGATGCGAACTCGACCGTAGCTCAGTGCCAAAGATGAGAGACTGGAATGTACATAAAGTCGCGATAGGGAATGGATCAACCAAAGAGGTGGTTTCGCCCTCGCCGAGCTGCTGGGAGATGTCCGAAGGAGGAGGGGGGGATTCTTCGCTCGCCGATTAACCGGGACTGTGTGTAATTGCATTTCGCGGGTGGTGTCAGAGAGTGAGACTCGCGCGCGACGGTCGTCAGCTACCGTCGCTACCGTCGTATTTCTCTAAGCGAATCGTGTTTGACAAAAGCATCGTCTAACGAAATCTAGTCTTATTTATACTCTTGTTAAATCGTAAACACGTTTTTCTTTTCCCTCTTGTTTTTACACGGATATTTATATCGTTGCGTTGTGCGTGCAGCAGCGGCAACAACAACAACAGCAGCGGCGACAATATCGCGGATACAGCGAAGAGACGTGAGAACTGATGCGCGACAATCGAGATAACCCGTCCCTCGGATCGCGATCACGCGATTTGTTTCTCGGTTGGACCGCGCACCGTTGGGCCAAATGTTTGAACAGCTGGCCGATATCGACGATACTCGCGTTCAAAAACGCGAGCGACGAGATAATGCGACGTCGAGCGGCCATTATCTGTATCGTCCCGTCTGCACCCCGAGTTGTCCAAGCGCGATTTGAAACCGGCGTGACGTCAACGAGCTGGATTCGTCGCACACGCGGGAGAATGGCGGATAATCCGCGACGATTTTAACGAACTTCGTCCGTCCTCGCAAGTCCAAACGTAGCGATGACTCCCCCGCCTCTCGCAGACCGGAAGTCAGATTTCATCGGGACATCATCGCACACCGCTTTCGATCGCCGGCCCGTAGCGCGGAAAGACGCGATTTCCTTCGTCGACCCGAATTTCTCGCTCACGCCGGAAGTTCCGCCGGAGCGGAGCGAACGCAAGTGCGGAACCGTCCTGTGAACCGTCGTGCCCAACCTGTCCCCTTCCGTGCGACGACATGTAAAATTATTTTATACATAATGTGCTCACTGTAATCGAGGTAAATCCCTATAGTCTGTAATAATAAAATCAAATTGTTATCGATGTGACGCGCAATGTTGTTTCATCCGATAATCCCTCGCTCGTGAAGCGAACGCTCGATTTCGGCACACACCTCGAGGCTTCGAGCGTGCAGCGCGCGTCATCGCAACGCGCGTCTCTCACGGGAGATTCTTCACAGACACGTAAAAATTCGAACGTCGCACAAGAGAGGTCCTGTAATAACTCGGGATCTCACGGGATCCCCGCGTGCTATTAAAGCGATGTCCTGTTCTGATTAATGCGCTCTGCGCGGAGGGTCGTCGTTCGATTCGCGCGATTATATAAAAGGTTCGCGCGCGTCGATCGCTTTGAAGAAAGGACGCGCCGTCGAGATGAAATTCAGCACGCGCAAAGATGAATTTATGAGCGATCTCTCTCTCTCTCTCTCTCTTTCGGCCGCGAGCCCGGCGTCCATTAACGAGTTCCACGCTCGTGAATATTGCATATCCGCGGCTTTTTTGCCGAAATCGCGCCCCGTTTAAAAAGCCGCTTTAGCGAGGAATCTTGATTAAACCCTTTAAGGCTCCTCCTCTCGCATTGGTTTCATTGATGCGACTCTAGCGACGTTGCGATCGCGGATCACGTCCGTGAGTTCGCCGCACACTCACGCGGAGAGGAGTGCGCGCGCGCGGCAGTGCACACGGTGTCCCACGATTCGTGCGCGATCTTCAAGTCGACAACGGATTTTCAGACCGCCCTGAGGTGGGTTTCCCTTTCGAAAGGGACGTTGAAGGATGTCGTCGTCGTCGATTTCGTGCTCGACAGTACGAATCTTCGTGACTCGAAGTTCCGAAACGCGAGTGAAATCCCTCGAATAAGGCCATTTCTGACTTTCTGATCAAAAATGGCGTCTGATTTGTCACTGGGATCTGCTTCCATCCACGGCCGGTACTCATAGTCAAATCTTCTATCTAAGACCGTTTTAAATTCATCTTTAGGTGCTGTACAGCTCATTTCATTCGCCACGAAGCATCTGATGAACTTGAGACGGTCTCAAATATAAAATCCGACTATGAATATCAGCCTATGAGAAGTTTCTACGATATATCAAACACATTTTTCCGAGGACGCATCTGATTACATATGATGACGCTATTCAAAAGAAAAGGTTTTATAATTTCTTGAAAGTTAATTTTCTCATTATTTCGCAATCATCTCCCGTATTTTAGAACAACATTTAGTTGCAGAGTCAATTTATTTAACAATCCCTCAATTCCGCCGATTCTGATCGAATCAGGAGCCGGATCGATCAGTGAGAAGTCGAAGATGGCCAGACTCTTATTCGAAGTGCTTCAGCCGCGACTTACCGGACACCCCGTATACACGAGGCACCCAGCCACACACACGAGTATTTGCTCGGGTCGCGACGTGCGTGCACAGCTCCACCAGTCGGTCTCTCCGGAGTGCGTACAGCCACCCATTCATGCATACGGCCATTCATATGTCGGGCCCGGCTTACCTTGAAGGCTTTTTATCATCGGCCGCTGTGTGTCCGTGTGCACGTACACACGCAATACGCACGTAGGCGTGCGCGCGCCCGCGCGTGCACTCGCGAAAACGGAAAATTATTCGCGTCCTTCGCGGAACACGATTGTCACGTGTGGCTGGCGAGTGATGACACAAAAAAAAAAAAGAAAAGAAATCACCGCCGGTAAGATTGTTTGTCTTTCAGGCCTACTCCCGGAGACACTTCCTCGTCGGCGTCCAACGCGTCCAAGAGCCGTGTTCCCGCGCCGTCCCAGTGTGTGCTTCAGACCTCGTTATAAGGGAGCGCGTTTCACGTTGCAAAATAAGAAAGAAGAAGAAGAGGAGGAGGAGGAATATATATTCGCCGAGGGAGATTCGCGCGCGCGCGACCGAGTTCTCCTATCGTTACTCGCGATCCCCGCGAACGCTTTACAATCGTCACCGGGGAAGTTGAGGAGGAACGAGGGGGGGGGGGGGGGGGTCCGATCGTCGTTGTCCTCGTCGTCATCGCCGTTCGTCGCTCGTCGTTTGGAGGAGCCCGGCACAATGGCTGCAGGTTTCCTAATACGGTCAGGTCGGCGCGATGCGCGCCGGAAAAAAGAGGAATTTTGGCAAGCACGGAGGGAGACCCGGGAAGGAGCCGACGCGCGCGCGGTTTAGACGTGTTCGGTGTAAAAATTTAATAACCGCACCTACGGGAGCCGCACGTCGCCCCGCGTCGTCACGCGTCCGAGAAGGAAGGGTTCTCTCTTCCTCGTCGGCGAGGTAGGAGGAGCACGTCGCCCGCCTCGCAGCCTCGCGCGAGCACCGTGTGTGTAACCTGTTCGCATTTATGAAAATATAGAGAAACCGTTGCGGCTGAACTCTCGCGTTTCGCTCCGCGAGACATCGTTTTTACGTTCTCCTCGAAAACGCGAGCGAGAGAGAGAGAGAGAGAGAGAGAGAAGCAGGGAGACGCGAATATATGCGCGGCGTCATTGCGGCGCGCACAGCGGCTAGATTCTCCGGACAGCGGAGGAGGTTTTCTCTCTCGGCCGAGCCAGCGAATATTTTCGACTCGATAAATTTCACGGAGCTATCCGCTCGTGCGTGTCTAATGTCGCTACAATTTTAATCGAGAGGCTCGCATCGAATTTCCGATTTTTTGCCCCTGCGTGGTGCCTACGCGTTATCTCCTCTACACGTGACTGCAAGTTTCCTAATATAGGCTCGGCATATGCTTCGGATGAAAAAAGACGATGTTGTTAACCACCGAGCAGCGCCCGGCAAACTGGTTGCCATCTCGAATCCGGAAAAGACAGCCCGGACTACGGTGTGTAATGCTAAAATCGCGAATCGGACACTGACAGCCCGCGGGGAAGAGGTTAATAATCATAATAACGAGGAAAGTAAATCCGCTCGTACCACGTAGCCGCCACTTGTAAATCGTTCGTCTCAATCTGGCACACGAAACGTACCCGAATCACTCCGAGCAAGTGGAATTTCACGGATACGAAACAACAAAGCCGATCGATTCTTTTTCGAGAACCTTGGTAGAAATTCAATCTCGTGAGTATCCGATTGCGAGGTAAACAGTAAATTTATGTCTGACGTCTCTACCAGCCAATAATGCAGCGCTCATTTCTCCCAGTAATTAGACAATGCACGGAGAAGACAAATTTTTGCTAGGACAGCAAGTGTTTGTCAATCTAGTGACAGAAAAACAAAATTTGTTTCCTCCGTGTGCCTGGATAAATAAAGTTGACTGATGGCGAAACGAAAGAAGCAGCAGTTATAAGATGGAAAAATCACAACCCACAACATAAGTCGTCAGCCAGTAATACAACGCTCATTTCTGCTTTCAACAGATTTTCACGGAATAACTCTACACCCCCCACCCCCCCACACTCAATTCTCATTTGCCAGCTCATTTTTAAATCCTAGTAGCGGATATACGGCAGCTAGATTATATGTTTTAGAATAGAGATTGCCGCCTACTTGGTCATATTTTATGTGTAAAAGCCAGATAACGACTAGATCGCAAAACCGATTCTACATTTCAATGAATAATCGGGCAATAAGGAAAGAGCTGGAACATTCAATCTGTATCAGCTAGCTAATAATTATTGATTCAGGCTGACTAGATATATGTTTCTGCACGGGAACACGGGAACATTAACGTTGTTGACAAGATTTCAAAGGCAGAGATTTGTCGTGATAATTATATAGCTGGAGAGAGCGAGAAAGAGAGAGGCGATCGGCGAGTTTTTCATTATTAATCTCAGACAGCCCGAGTCTCCGTCGTGCGACAAATCGAACGGCGCTCGCTGGCTGCGAAGTGCAAAATGAGCGAATAGAATCGAATCTTCGCCGGCTTCGGAGAGGCCGGTTGAAGCTAGGGAAGACGACGAGATGATCGCGGCGGTCTACGGACAGGTTCGTTCGCGAAAAACTTCAATTTGTCTCGCGCCTCGGACTTTATCGCGGCCGGGATCGCGCGAAAATTACATCACGCGCCGGGGAAAACGAGTCGAGCCGATGATCTTGAATTACACGAGCTTTTCGCGAAAAAATACGGGCCGATTGCGAGTAATCCGCAAAAGTACGGATTGGATTACGACGAGTAACGCGCAAGGATAATTAAGCCCTGTAACGGCATTCCCGCTCGTTCATTGCCTCCTCTGACAGAGAGCGGACAGAGAGCGGTCCGTTCGTTCATGGGCTCGAGATTTTGCGCAAGAACGACTTCATGAATGAACGCGCGACGCGCTTCTCGACAAAACGCTCTCCTTCCTCCTCTCGTCCCGTCCGTTGCCCGTCCACCTCGCGCGCGGCTACAATGCAGACGGAATACCCGATTGTTTCTAGGCAGCCCGCGACCGTTCTAGCGTCCGAGATAAGAAAGGGACGCCACCGGAAATCATCATTCTCGGCGGGAGTTCTAATCAAAAGAAAACCGGAATATACACCGCGCCGTCGTCCGCTGCGCGCGGACTAACAATGAGAGAAACTGGACGCCTGCTGGCGGCGCACGTCAGGTTCCCCGGTACGCTTAATTACACGGGCAAAAGGTGTTTCCAAAATCGGACGTTCTTTCTGCACACCTGAGATCGAAATTTGCAATTCACTCGATGAATATATCGGGTATATAAAATATATCCGTGAAATGAATCCGTGAGATGTCTTAAAGGGCATCTTAAAGACGTCCTAAAGATGCCTCAAAGACGTATTATGTCCCGGCTTTAGGTTTTAGCTGTTTGGATATGCAACTGGTCTGTAACGGCTTACATAATGTTATGACGAGCAATCTATCTTTAACAATAAGCAAGGTGATTCAAGAAATTAAGGTTACGATAGGGAAAAATGAGGAAGTAGATTTGACATAAGAAAAAATTGGAAAATCATCCGAGGAGAGGCATATTGGGGAGGAAGAAGAAAGGAGGAAAGACGCGCGATGTAATCGAAGGACAATAGGCCTCCGCCGAACGAGACTCGAAAACATCCGGTGTAAGGATATCGCGAGTCTCGCCGTTCGATACGACGTTTGTCGTAGCGTCGTCGC